TAGGGGGGTGCGTGCACGCGTGCCTGTTTGCGTACGTGCGTGCGTGCGTGCACGCGTGCGTGCGCGCGTGCCTACATGTGTTCATATGTCTGTTTCTGTGTACACACCGTTCTTTCATGCCGGCCACGATCAGCGACTTTATACAGTTATCCCAGATCGCATTGAATTCCAGGCGCGTTTCTCGACGGTTCATTGGTTTTCTGCGACAGTCATCATTCAAGCCACATCTGATCTGCCTTCGTCATCATGCATGTGGTCGTGTGTTCCTGCACTGTTCGGCAGTGCGCGCGGCGTGACAGCGGCTGCCTTATATACGGGGATCGTCTGACATTATACTAGTCAACTAACCAGATATTTATTCGTTCTTCTTTCACGACGATAGATTTTTGAAGTCACGAATTCATAAAATTGCTTATGCATGCAGTCGTTTCGTTCGAACATTTTCGGGGCACAGCACCAGATAATCAAATACACGCGCGCACATGCACTTGATGCGTGACCATTCGCCTGCAAGAATATGCTCCTTGCAGTCTGGCGGCTGGTAAAGTATAGAACGACTATGTTCTCGCTATAGCACTAACACATCACAGAGCGATGCGCGGTGAAGCCATTTCGAACTACCATCTTAGTAGCGTTTTTTTTACAAGCTATAACACCGCGTAGTTTCCATGGTAACAACATGAAACAGGTAATTAGTCTGCCAACGATGTTCTCGTTGACGCCCGTTTGTCTTCTTTAAATTCTCTTCGTTTGCACAGCGCTCGACACAAAGCGAAATGCTAATAGATAGAATCAATATTCTCGTAGGCCCACCGTGAAATTCGCTCGTCCATGTCGGCACACTCCTACTAATCGCTACTCCGACTTTCTAATCCTGCGAGAGAAGAGGAGGAAGTTCAGTGAAAGGGTGATTCAATTTTTCTCAAAGATCAATTCGCTGCAGATGTCTAGACAACAAATTTATACTGAAAGGCTAACTACTATAATCGCCTGATTTTACTGTCTGCCCGCTTGTTACAGTACATATTGTACAAACCGTGTAATCGATATATATATATTTATTTATTTATTTATTTATTTAGTTATTTAGTTATTTATGCCGATTGAATAGAGTTGTACAATACAGGCAACGTCCATGCACACGTTCGTTTGCCCGTCGTCCGTCCGTCAACCGTCAATTCATTAATTCGTTAACCATTCTATTTATACATTCACCCATTCATTCATTATTCCATCCATTCATTCTTCCATCCATCCATCCACCCATCCATCCATCCATCCATCCATCCATCCATCCATCCAT